GTACTCGATAATGCATTATAGGTTTTTGTCATTTTCATAGTAGAAAACAAATTATCTTTATATTATGTTAAAGTGTCACTTATACTGTACCTAGAATAAATATTTCATCCTTTTAATGTATCTTTTTGAAAATAAACCAATTCAAAATACCTCGTATGCCTATCTACGGAAGCAGAGAACTGACGTTTCCTGCATATAATTTGTTTTCTGTGGTTTTCTCGTACACTGCACAGTGTGCCTATGAGCCTAACAACAGTGCAGATTACCCACCCTTTTTGGAGTCCTTGGAGGGGGTGCTGGAGAGCACTCGTAACGGAGACTCGCTCATTCTGCTGGGGGACTTCAGCGCTCACGTGGGTAATGACAGTGAGACCTGGAGAGCCGTGGTTGGGAGGAACGCCCCCCCAATCTGAACCTGAGCGGTGTTTTGTTATTGGACTTCTGTGCTCATCATGGATTGTCTATAACGAACACCATGTTAAAGCATAAGGGTGTCCATATGTGTTCTTGGCACCAGAACAGCCTAGGCCACAGCTCGATGATCGACATTTTTTTGTTTCATCTGATCTGTGGCTGCATGTTTTGGACACTCAGGTGAAGAGAGGGGCGGAGCTGTCTACTGACCACTACCTCGTGGTGAGTTGGCTCCGTTGGTGGGGGAGGATTCTGGTCAGACCTGGCAGACTCAAACGTATAGTGAGGGTCTGCTGGGAACATCTGTCAGAGTCTCCCGTCAGCTTCAACTCACACCTCCGGGGGAACTTCGAACACGTTCAGGGGGATATGGGGGACATTGAGTCCGGGTGGGCCATGTTCTGTGCCTCCATTGTCGAGGCGGCTTACCTGAGCTGTGGCTGTAAGGCTGTTGGTGCCTGTCTTGGCAGCAACCCTCGAACCCGCTGGTGGACACCGGCAATGAGGGATGCTGTCAGGCTGAAGAAGGAGTCCTATCGGGTCTTTATGGCCTGTGGGACTCCGGAAGTAGCCGATAGGTATCGGCAGTCCAAGCGGATTGCGGCTTGGGTGGTCTATGAGGCAAAAACATGGAAAAAGACTTCTGTACGGCTTCGAGGCGATTCTGGTCCAACATCCGGTGTCTCAGGAGGGGAAAATGGTTCACCACCAACACTATTTATGGTGGGGATGGTGCACTGCTGACCTCAACTCGGGACGTTGTGGATCGGTGGGCAGAATACTTCGAAGACCTCCTCAATCCTATCGACACGTCTTTCCACGAGGAAGCAGAGTCTGAGGACCCTGGGTTGGACTCTCCAGTCTCTGGTGCCGAGGTCACAGAAGGTGGTTAAAAAACTCCTCAGTGGTGCGAGATTCACCTGGAGTTCCTTAGAGCTCTGGATGTTGTGGGGTTGTGTTGGTTGAAGCAAGTCTACAATATCGCGTGGACATCAGGGGCAGTTCCCCTGGATTGGCAGACCGGGGTGGTGGTTTTTAAGATTTTCAACAGTTTTTATCGTTATTTCAGTAAGTTTCTGTCCGTTTTGAAAGTGACAGAAGAGCTCTTCTCAGGGTTTTGCACTTGAATTTCACATTTTTACTAATATGCAGAATTGTGGTGACATGACACAGAATTACTGGAGTGGCATCATCCATAAATAATGGTGATTGTGCAAAATTTCAGAGATGATCTGTTCATGATTCTTATCAACCTGAAGGTGCTTTGACCTTTTTATACATAGTTTTTAAAAAATGTGTGAATAAAAAATATTTAGTGTAAGTATGATCATTGCACAACATACAGTATTTGATCTTGCCTGTAATATTGGACGTTAATGAGTACTTTGATTATAGACTGCAGCACCAATGTTGCTCTCACACCACAGTTCTGACTCACCTGTTATCCTGCGTGCCTCTGTGTGTACATTGGGCCTCATGCAAGAACCGTTCGTACGCACAGATTTGTTCTTAAGTTGTGCGTACGAGTGATTTAGGAGAATTTGTGGCATTCACCAATGT